TTTAAGGGGGTCTGAATACTTTCCGTACCCACTGTATATGGATCAATATAAGCTTTCTGGACCAAAATAAATAAATAAATAAAAAAAGTGTCATTTTTGGCCTCCGGGTAATTTTGACCCTTAAGGGACACTTTTACAGGTTCGGGAGGGACGGATGAGGGTTTTAAAAAGTAATGTTGATGATGAACTGATTATTAGAAGCACATGAATAATTACAAAGTATCATGTGTTTTTGACATGTTCATCTGATCACTCACTTAAAATCTAATTTCTGTTTCTTTGTGCAGCCTTGACAGATGAAACGGAGACATCTCAACAAAAAACTGGTACAGGATGTGTGAAATGTTTTTTGTTGTGCAACAAGAAATGTTTAATGAAAAAGGGGATCAATGCTTTGTTAAAACCCATAAGTTTGTAGAAATATGGTACAAATGCTTCATTACTGTACAGTACAGTTTTTGTACATTTGTAGTATAAATATGGTTGACTTTTACTTCACTGCATTTTAGATAAAGTTGAGACTTTTATTCTGATTTTAAAGAAAATGTATACTTTTCTTTACGTAATGTATTACATTTCTCCAGACCCTTTCATGTGTGACTGCAAACAACAGCAAAAAAAGACCTGCAAGAAAAACTGTGTGGGTCATTGATAGTGTCGTCTCACATAGACAAACCTTTGAGTTACGCCATAAAGTCTGATCTCTATCTGCTTCAATTGGCCTGGTCTCATTGTTTTAAGTAGTTATAAAATGTAATAAAAATATACTACTTGTGCATTTGGATAGATGCTGAAATGTATAATACATATAACAATACTCTATTCTAAAAATGGCAGAAAGTAGTATCAGAGTAATCCAAACAACACTGTTTTACATTCTACGTCCTCTCTGACAGTTTACAGTAGTTTTGTGTGAAACTTTAAGCCATTAATTGCTGAAAATCCCATTCCTGATCCACTTCAGGACGTCGCACACATCTCATTCAAAAGTACACATCACCCAAAATACATTTTGTTTTTGACGCAGCAAACCCAAACGGAGACATTATGAAGTTTGTGTGTTAGATAAAATCTGATAAAAATAAGTATTTTTTGTGCAGTAATTTCAAAACTCTGATGTTCACATGCAAACACATTTGATGTAATGTCTGCTTTGTCTTTGTATTTTTTCTGTTTATTGTTGCTGATGTCACACAAAAAGAGACACCGAGATCAGAGATCAGAGAAGGTGAAAGGGAACGGTTCATTGTTGTTGAAGAGACTGCCATAAGTAAAGCGTTTGGTGCTGATAATATATTGAGAGACAGACAGGGCAGGAAGAGCATTGCAATCAGAGCTGAAGATGATGAAGTTCAGAGTCAGACACATGGTGAGTAGTTGTCTTTTAATGTAATATTTTTAATATAAGAAGGGTCTTATGTTCATTGTTCAACTGTTCATTCAGTTGCAATCATGGGTAACACTTATCCAAGTTGTCTGAAGTCAAATTATAGATTTGTGTGAGGAACAGACCTAGATGTAGATCATTATGCACTGAAAGTATCCCATCAGCTGAAGTCCTCAAATCTCATTTGCACTCACTTAAACCTGACATGTCTTAATGTCAGTGGCCAAACATTGTTGACAAGAGTTCAAATTGAGTGACTATGAGATTTAACAGCTGACAGATTTTGTACAAAAACTAGTTTTAATGTGACCATCATGTCTAATAATGGTTCATTGTCTAATTCATCTGTGAATGTTGTTAAAACAGGTTTAGATGGAAACTCTCCTGGAAATGAACTAAAAGAGCTAAAGGGTGAGATTTTGTTGTTTGCACGCCTGAACCTTCTTAATGCTCTCTCTCTCTCTATATATATATATACACATACACAGTCAAGCCAAAAATTATTCAGACACCAGATATAACTTTTGATTTATTTTTTTATTTTTTCTAGCGGGTGCAGGACAATAGTTCATTTATTTAAGTGAGGATAGAAAAATAAACTGTGACATATTATACCCAAGAATTCTTCATAAAGTGGACTACCAGTAAAATTGCTAACAAATTTGGGACCAAAAATTATTCAGACGCTTTGACCTGACCATGTTTTGCTTAAGTGTTTTTCTTTAATTGCTAATGCGACCTTTTTACACCACAGACTGAACAAAATTAGGCGTTGCTTGGTAATTGGTCAACAAAGTATTGATAGTTTAGTGTAAATATTGTCTTACTAACTTACATTAACAAACACATGCTGTGAAAATATTGTTTATTGTTAATTCTCATAAATGATGGATTTAACATGTCCACACATACAACACTAGTATAATTGTTACTGTTCAATAATAAAAAGTCATGCAGATGATGACGTGATTATTAGAAGTACATAACGATTCCAATGCTGTTTCGCGACCAATTCATACATATCTTAAAATATGTAGGCTAGGAATTCTTCTCAGTGTTGCTGACATGTTCATCTGTTCATTCTCTTATAATATAATTTATCTGTGCAGATTTGACAGAGGATGTGAAGATCTCTGAACAAGAAACACGTACGTATTACAACTGATACAGCAAGTGCAAAATGTGTTTTGTAGTGCGATGAGATGTTCAATGAAAAAGTATAGTTGTTGTATATAATGTAATGGATTTAAACGTCTTTTTGGCTTAAAACTGTGAAAACAGAGGTATTCAAAACAAGTGATGCAAGATTAGTCATGTGACACAATCCTCAATTCAGCGAACAATTAAAAGGGTTCAGTTCTGTAGATTTGTTGTCAGCACAAAAAAATTGTTTTATTGGTCTTATGAAGTATTCTAATTTGTTTAGATAGTGAATTGGTGGGTTTTTGTTAAATGTGAGCCAAAATCATCACAATTAAAAGAACCAAAGACTTAAACTACTTCAGTCTGTGTGCATTGAATTTATTTAATACACAAGTTTCACAATTTTATTTGAATTACTGAAATAAATGAACTTTTCCACGACATTCTTATTTATTGAGATGCACCTGTAAATGCCATGTTCACTTGTGAGAAAAGAGCAAACGCTCAAACAAGATTTAACTTATAAAATGACTCAAATGTGCTATTGGCAATATGTGTTATTTAAATGATTTTCATTTCTATTGGTAATTTGACGGGAAAATATTGACATTTTGATTTCTCAGGAACAACTACAGGACTGATCTCCAGATTTGTCTCTTTTTTAAATTTCTGATTGTCTCTGTGTTTCCTGTCAGAATCAACAGGAAAAGACGTGAATGAAGAAACACCTTTTATGAGCCAAAAGGAAGAGTATGGGTCAAATGAGTAGATATAGAAGAGCTCAGTTTAGTGAGATAAGACACGCCCACCAGTGTCAATCACTGTGACATCATCAACATTTCAGTTCTTTCACAAGCCTCTAGAATCCATCCAGTCAAAGTGAGAACCCCATGTCTCTTGTGTAAAAAGCTGTTTTGGTTTCAGATGAACAGGGAAATGTGTTAATGAAATGTCATATATACAGTAACTGTATTAATGTTACACTACATACCTGTTATCCTAAGATGTGTTTTACCACAGAAGTATCTCTCAAACCATTGTATGTGCTGTACACGGTTAATGTCCTCGTTCAGCTTTGATCCCAGTGTCTCTAAAGATCACATGACCTTCTCCTCATGTGTAGAAATTCATCCGACTATATTCAGTGTCAATGCGACACTTTTGTTGCAGAAATTAACCAACTACTTTAAGTTACCATTCTTTTTCAACTTTGCATGTTTTATGCTATATAAAATAACCATGCTTAAATATGTTATCCAAAGATATGTTTTAAAGGAAATCTGTTTCAACATCCTTTAATCAAATTACAAATGTGACCTGAATTTAGAGTGTATTACATCCACAGACGTATTTGTTTCTCTCTATTTAGCAGGAAGTAATAGCTGCCAACTGACTCCAGTGATTGATTGTCTGCTGTGTTTGGAGGAATTTATGCCTTGTTGATTGGGTTTCTCTTCAGTGTTATTGTGTTTACACTCTTGTTGTAATTGGTGTTTATGAAAAAGAAATACTTCCTGGTTTGTAAGCTACTATTTGTTTGTGTATTGTTCTTAATTCATTTATTTTTGGGGGGAATTGGTTAGTAGAGAGGTGGGTGCCTTTTTTTTTTTTTTTTACTTGTTTTCTCCCGTTCAAGCTATTTGGGGAGTTACTGTATTTTGTTGTATTTTTCTTTTAATAGTTTAGTTAGTTTTTCTCTACTGGTTAGAGGGGTTATGTTTGTTTGGCCTTTGCCTCCTCTTGAATCCTTGGAATCCTCCGACAATCACAAAATAAAAGAACTTGTTTTTGATACTGAGTTGATTTTGGTCATTGTGAAAGCACTGGGATTGGGAACCGGACCTTGCTGCCTCCACACATCACACCATTTTATTCTCTTACATGTTCTTCCATCAATAGACTGTAATGGGAACGTTGAAGAATTTGGGAGCTTGTTTATCAGTAACAAAATGTAATTTATCTTTATTTTTGTTATCTGCAACAGGATGTAAACTGCTCCACTGTTAGACAATTAAATTTGTAAATGGTACATGCTCTTGTTCCATCTTGTATATTTTGCATGACTATGTTTGACGTGGGAGGAGAAGAATTTGGAATTTGACACTCTTGTTTACAGTACTTCCCACTTTGGAAGCATGCAATCGCTGTCGTAAAAGGGCTTTAATTTCCATTGCAGACGTCTTTTAAAATAGTGTCTCTAAAGAGGTATAGGGGAAATTACAATTAAATGCCATGGAGACCAATATGCTCAATGACGACCAGGAGTCAAAGTTGAAGTTCCATTAAACATAAAAAATTAAACACAAGCTCTTCACCAAATTTTTATATATACATAAAAAAATTAATTACACATCAATTTCCATCAGTTTTGAGGATCATTTCAAAGGTGCAACAGAAATGAAAGGCTATGAGATCCATAATTTGGGTTGCTATTGTTATTCTGTTTAGGGTTATTATGTTTACATCCATGTATTTATACAAATATCTCACTGTATAATATTTATTCACCCTCAGACTATCTAAGATGGAGTTTGTTTCTTTAACGGAACAGATTTTGAGAAATTATGCTTTAGATCACTTGCTCACCATTGGATCCTATGCAGTGAATGGGTGCCGTCAGAATGAGAGTCCAAACAGCTGATAAAAACATCACAATAATCCACAAGAAATCCACATGACTCCAGTCCATTGTGTCCAGTCCATTTGTGATGTTTTTATAAGCTGTTTGGACTCTCATTCTGACGGCACCCATTCACTGCAGAGGATCCATTGGTGGAATTTTCATTTCTGGGTGAACGTTCCTGTAATTTAAATGATCAGTTAGAATGTCCTTCTATGCAGATATGATCAAATAAATGGCTAATGAATGAAAATGTATCTGCGTCCTTTTGGAATTCTACAAACAACCTTCAGCAAACATATCTGGAACGTATTGTTCTGCTCAACTGATGTTGGTCTGATTTTACTCTGTGTGTCGGATGGTGATGTCTAGTCTCTTCCGTACTGTTCAGCTCATTTCTTGTAGATCTGATGTCATAAACCAGAAAAGCAACAGCAGCCACGCTTACCAGAGCAGAAACAGCCAATCGTATCACCGTTTCAGTAAAACCACAACAGTGGACGTGGTCTGAAAAAAAAGAAAAACACCGAGCTAGAATAATGCATTTAACTCTCGTTCAAACAGACTCATACAGTAGGTGCTGGTTTTATGGGTTGTTATTATTAGGAAGTCAAGCATTCACTGCAAAGGCAAAACATCCACAAGCTTCAGTGTGTGTTTGAATATATGTTTGCATGCACATTCTAGACTCTTTTAAGGGCTTTAGCCACATCTTTAATCTATGCTCTCATAGAAACCTGTGTGATTATTTGATTCTTTCTCCAAGATATATTTTGCTTTTGAGCACTAGTTTTTTTTTTTTTTTTTTTTTTTCTTTTTTTTTTTAGTGTCTTTGTTTTTATGCTCACCAAGTGAAAAAAAAAATCAGGATAAAAAAAAATATAGAAAAAGAGGTAATATTGTGAAATATTGTTACAATTCAAAATAACTCTTTTCTATGTGAATATATGTTAATGTAATTTATTGCTGTGATTTTCAGCATCATTACTCCAGTCTTCAGTGTCACATGATTCTTCTGAAATCATTCTAATATACTGATTTGCTGCTCAAGAAACATTTCTTACAATTATCAGTGTTAAAAACCGTAGTTCTGCTTCATATTTTTGTGGAAATATTTAGTTTGTTTGTGTTCCTTGATGAATAGAAAGTTAAATAGATCAACATTTATTTGAAATAGAAATCTGTTGTAACATTATAAATGTCTTTACTGTCACTTTTGATCAATTTAATAAACCCTTGCGAAATATAAGTATTATTTTAAGGAAAATTTTTTTACTGACCACAAACTTTTGAACGATAGTATATAAAAGAGGTTTAAAGGCACAGCAGTGAAAAAAATAGACACTCTAATTCTAAGAGAGGGTGGAATTGGCATGCAATCCAATAATTAAATCGTCAAGTCATTTAAAAAAAAATAAAGATTAGCCTATACTATGGCACACATGTGCATCACATGTATTATGGTAGCCTAAATAATCCGGTGCTGTGAACCAGAGATTAAGCGTCTGCTGGTTGTTTCTCTTCACAGCCGCCAACAGTCGTGTGCAGCATCTGCAAGAGAGACGGCCACCTTAAAGACGAATGTCCTGAAGACTTCAAGAAGATCGAGCTGAAACCCCTGCCGCCCATGACTGAGCGCTTCAGAGAAATCCTGGACGGACTCTGCATGCTGTGCTACCGTGAGCGCCGTCCCATGCTTTACCAGCATCTGTTTTAATACTCCAGCGCATTCCGATCAATCAGCTTGAGTGCATTTATTTGCATTTACCCTTACGTTTACTTCAGGCTCCGTTGTGATGTTTTTTGTGTTTGTAGGTGAGTTGTCACCATCTCTCGTCGAGCAGCAGAAGAGGGAGCAGATTCTGGGCAGTCTGGAGCGCTTCATCAGAAAAGAGTACAACGGTGTGGAAACACATTCATACATGTACAGCAGTGTTAACACAAAAAAAAGCTAAATAGTTTTCAGAAGCGGAAGTTGTCATATAGTCCATGGAAAAATTCACAGTTTTTATGATTATAAACAGATCGGTTAACTGCAGTATCCCTATTTTTTAAATTAAATTAATCTGTGTTCTGTGTTTTTGTTCAGATAAGGCCCAGCTCTGTCTGTTTGGCTCTTCTAAGAACGGCTTTGGCTTTCGTGACAGTGACCTGGACATCTGTATGACACTGGAGGGTCACGACACCTCTGAGGTAGAAATCCTCTTGCCCCTTCCAAAGGAGGGCATGCCATGTTTTATATTGATTTTTGTAAATATCTGTATGATTAGGCCAATATTGGAAACACACCTTATTTGTCTTTCATTTAATTTTTGTCATGCAAAATTTCAAAAGTACAAATAATGTGCATTATAATATGTCGATAACTGTTTTCCCTTACTTTAAATGGTGTTTTGTGTTTAAAAACATTGGAAAGGAGATCAGTTTGTATTATAATTTTTTTTTTAGCCAATTATTGATTCTCCTGATGTTTAACTTTCTCATTTTCCTTGTAGAAACTCAACTGTAAGGAGATCATTGAGGGTTTAGCCAAGGTGCTGAAGAAACACACAGGTACGGAGTGATTTATTTAGTGAAACTGAAGTCAGTATGAGTTGATTCTTCAGCGCTGACAGATTCATTTGTTTGTGTGGTTCAGGTTTAAGGAATATTTTGCCTATCACAACTGCTAAAGTGCCTATAGTGAAGTTTGAACACAGGCAGAGCGGACTGGAGGGAGACATCAGCCTCTACAACACACTGGTTGAGACACACTTCAGAATGAGAGTCCAAACAGCTGATAAAAACATCACAATAATCCACAAGAAATCCACATGACTCCAGTCCATTGTGTCCAGTCCATTTGTGATGTTTTTATAAGCTGTTTGGACTCTCATTCTGACGGCACCCATTCACTGCAGAGGATCCATTGGTGGAATTTTCATTTCTGGGTGAACGTTCCTGTAATTTAAATGATCAGTTAGAATGTCCTTCTATGCAGATATTATCAAATAAATGGCTAATGAATGAAAATGTATCTGCGTCCTTTTGGAATTCTACAAACAACCTTCAGCAAACATATCTGGAACGTATTGTTCTGCTCAACTGATGTTGGTCTGATTTTACTCTGTGTGTCGGATGGTGATGTCTAGTCTCTTCCGTACTGTTCAGCTCATTTCTTGTAGATCTGATGTCATAAACCAGAAAAGCAACAGCAGCCATGCTTACCAGAGCAGAAACAGCCAATCGTATCACCGTTTCAGTAAAACCACAACAGTGGACGTGGTCTGAAAAAAAAGAAAAACACCGAGCTAGAATAATGCATTTAACTCTCGTTCAAACAGACTCATACAGTAGGTGCTGGTTTTATGGGTTGTTATTATTAGGAAGTCAAGCATTCACTGCAAAGGCAAAACATCCACAAGCTTCAGTGTGTGTTTGAATATATGTTTGCATGCACATTCTAGACTCTTTTAAGGGCTTTAGCCACATCTTTAATCTATGCTCTCATAGAAACCTGTGTGATTATTTGATTCTTTCTCCAAGATATATTTTGCTTTTGAGCACTAGTTTTTTTTTTTTTTTTGAGCAACTTGGGGCACCACACCCATACACGGCCCTCAGACACATGCTTCATGCCTCTGTTGCTCGTCTGTGGTATATTCTTTGTTCCAGTGAAATCATAAAAAGCAAAAAAAAAAAAAAAAGCAAACACAAACAGGTTATTCTTTCTCCACGAATGCATGTGCTGATCAAATGTACACCTTGAATGCAATGTGAGCCACATTAGATAAATCATCTGTTGAATGAAAAAATATAATGTAAATTAAAATATTGCAATTTTAATGGGTTTATGTGGTTGATTTGTTCACACCCATCTGCAGTAAGATGAAGCAACATCTATGACTATGTGCGGCATTGGTATTGTGGTTGGTCACAACTGCATAAACGTGGCCTCAATTCTGACATCAAGCCACGACTAACACCATTTCAGAAACAAAAAACCTTAAAGTTTTATAAAAACTCATGTCACATTAACTGAACACATTTAACACAGTTCTGCTCTCACACTAGCATCATGAGTGGCATACCTGAACTTGGCTGACGGAGTTCAGTAATGTTGACATATTCAGTCTGGTTGACGATTAAATTGGAGGACACAAAACTTAAGTTTCTTGAACTTTCTGGTGCTGTAGAACTTTGTGGAGTCTCTGAAAGTGACAGATGTTAGTGTGACACTGGTCTCATCACACACACAGTTCTGATCTTTATAACAGATTTATTTTTTAAATGGAATTAAATGATAGTTCACCCAAAAAATTTAAAAATATGTCCTCATTTACCTCATTTACGAAGAAAGAAGCTCATACAGGTTTGTCACAACTTGTGGATAAATAAATGGTGACAGAATTTCATTTTTGGGCAAACTATCCCTTTAATGGTTAACACCATAAAATGTGCATGTGCATTGACAAGAACAGAAAATAAACATTTTAAAATATGACAAGACAACGATATAATTCAAATGAAGAAAAGTCCTGGAAAATTACACTCACCACTGACCATAACATTGAAACTCATGTAGCTGGTCTCACTGCTGAAAACTGTTACTTTATAAAGTCCAGAGTCTGTGGTTCTGGTGTTTGTGATGGTCAGAGATCCAGTCTGATCCAGTTGTAGTCTGCCTCTGAATCTCCCATCAGGACCATCATATGTGGAGTTGGTTTGCGTGAGCTTGCCCAATTCAGCTATTCGAGTGTTTCCGAACATCCACTGTATTAGCAAATATGTCTGTATTTTATTAGCATCGGTGTGTAGAGTGACAGGATCTCCCTCCATCGCTGATATTGTCTTCACTTCATCTGTCACATCTAGAGAACAAAGAGGAACATGTTTTGTAACAGACTAAATGCTCCCCATAAACTTTATGTTGACCATACTAAATCTGTATTATGCAGACGTTTCCTCTGTGTGAATGCTGAATGAAAACAAGACTTTAAAGTGGGATATAATGAGACATGAATAACAATGAAAGTTCCTGAATTCAGTGCAAAGTGATTTTATTAAGTAGCATTATGCAAGGATAATATAGGCCTACTGTGGATCAGCATGTTTTTAGACAAGAAAAAAAATATTTTTTGGAATTCCTTCCACTAAATTTCTCAACAGGCCATAAAACTAGCAGTGATAATAAACTGTCTGAAAACTTTTTATTTATGAGGTAATGTAATTGATTGTAATGGCATTTATTTAAATAAAAACTGGTAGAACTTACCAACCAGACGCCATGAGCACACACATAACAAAATAAAAGCGTTAACCATATTCATTGGTGGCTATTTGTCATTCACCAGTATTGTCTAAAAAGCAGACTCTGTCGCTGCATATCGCCTATGTCTACAGGCTCGCTAGTAGGCGTTCCCTAGTAAGTTTTTATAGCGAATATAACCGGATGCCATGCCAAGATGTTGACATAGAATAAGTTTTCTTACCACTTAAAACAAACGTTTTGGAGAGGGAACATTACATGTAAACGGAACAAGAACTAACATGTCCAATAAAATGCATATGTAAAGTGAACTAGGAAAAACCTGCTCTTCAATCCTTGCCAGTGATACTGTCTATGCGCCGTTTTGCTGACACTGCACTACCGTGGCTGCGTTCCAATTCTTAAGGTCCCTATGCAGTGTCCACTGTACTCAGTGAGCAGATAGCCTATTTACGAATTATTTTTTTTATTAATGAAAATAGAACAAATAACAAACAGAGCATAGCATAAGACAGTCCGTGCTATACAAAGTGTGACATTAATTAGCAACGGGAACTGAAAATAATGGCATAATACTTTAAACATGTTAATGACTTTTAGTTTTTTTAACAATTTCAGAGAAGATATAAAACAATCAAATTCCACTAAAAATACCTTAAATATTGGGGAAGAATTTAAGCATTTTTGTTTATGTAGGCTATATAAAATTGTGCCGGCAATATGAATAAATTAACAATGTATTCAAGACCTTTGTTAACATTGTTTTCATGGTACACAGTAATATCCTTTAAAACCCCTTAACTATCACCGTCCCACCTGTGGGACGTTTGGCGCTCTTTTTTGTTGTCTTTTTCTCTATCAAATCTTTTAGTAATCATCATAAATCATATATCATTTGAAAGCTTAGAAGCCCAATATTCATCCTGTGCAATCCATTTCGAAATCAGACATTGCGTTACCATGGAAATGGTACTTTAAAATCTTTTGGCGGTCTCCCCCCCCCTTAGTGGACGGTCTAGTGTCATATTACAAAATGAGTTACGGTCTTTTAAAATCAAAACTTTTTATAATCTTGATAAAAAACATATCATTAGAAAGGTCTGAGACTCAGGATTCCATATTTGGGGGTATTTTGAGATAGAAGTCATATTGACAGAGAAATCTAGACATTTGTGACAGAAAAATGCATTTAAATAATTCAATGGAGTTTGTATGGCACCCGGGGGCTGTTTGTGGTATAACGCCCTAAATAAATCTCACAGGAACCTCAAGTTTTTTCATATCAACTTCAAATTTGGAACATAACTTATTCATAATTTTATGCCAATTTTAGAGTAAAACCTGATATGTAAAATATGTATTATAAATAAAATAAAATTAATAGTGCATTTTCTTTACAGTAAATTTAAACTACTATAACTTTTTGATACTTAAAGTTTTTGAAAAAATTCCACTTTTGCGATAATTTGCCGATTTTCTTCTTTAAAACGAGACCAACCTTATGTCTGCATTCCAAAGTGTCTTTTAAAATCAAAACTTTTTATAATCTTGACAAAAAACATATCATTAGAAAGGTCTGAGACTCAGGATTCCATATTTGGTGGGTATTTTGAGATAGAAGTCATATTGACAGAGAAATCTAGACATTTGTGACAGAAAAATGCATTTAAATAATTCAATGGAGTTTGTATGGCACCCGGGGGCTGTTTGTGGTATAACGCCCTAAATAAATCTCACAGGAACCTCAAGTTTTTTCATATCAACTTCAAATTTGGAACATAACTTATTCATAATTTTATACCAATTTTAGAGTAAAACCTGATATGTAAAATATGTATTATAAATAAAATAAAATTAATAGTGCATTTTCTTTACAGTAAATTTAAACTACTATAACTTTTTGATACTTAAAGTTTTTGAAAAAATTCCACTTTTGCGATAATTTGCCGATTTTCTTCTTTAAAACGAGACCAGCCTTATGTCTGCATTCCAAAGTGTTCATAAATTACAACAATTTAAGTTTGGATAGTGCACCCGCATGCCTATTTTAAAAAATGGGGGGTGACAGTTAAAGGGTTAAAGAAAAACAGTATTTATCCTTTACTAGATAGAAAATAAATTCTGCCAATTCCTTCCAAAAAATGTTGGTAATTTTACAATCAAAAAAATAAATGTGATCATTTTTACAAAAGGAGCATAAATCATCAATATCAGAGTATCTTGAAATCATTGATTTAACATGAGGGCCTATTTACGGAAGATGTCAAGCGCTGATTGACATAACGCTACGTTTTCATACGATTTTTGGGCTACGGGTTTTCGTGAAAGTAGCGTACAGGATGGAGTGTAAACGGTGAAAACAGCCACCAGGAATGTATTTAGTAACTACATTTCTTTCACAGCTTCAGAAAGAAGGGACAAAGTGTTTCTAGTCAGACAGCTGCTGACAGGTTGTGAACAGCTGGATTCGTGCCAATATGGGAAACGCCCGCTATTGCGTCACACAATGCCAAGTGGAGGAGCCATCCTTCAAGGATACGACAAACGCAATTCAACAACATAAAAATATAAAGTAAACTCATTGATCATCTTTATTAAATTCGGATTCTGCACAGCTCTACAAAAACAGGAGGAACATGTTATTGGTCTTTCTATTATTAATGGCTGGTAAGTTTTTCGAAATGTGTTTACTTTCGGTTTTGGTCGATCCACATAACACCAAAAACAAAAACTATTCCTATTGTTTTCTTATTTCTAGAATTTGTTCATTTACAAGGTCTAACCAATCACTAAGTGGGACAAAACAGGGTGCTTAATGGAACAAATAAAACCTTGCACTCGGACAAATGAAACTACATTTATTTAGGCTATGTAGCTAGTAGCCTACTTAGCTTATGCTTTGATACAACATCCCAACTTTTTAATTTTTTTTTTATCAAAATGTGCTTTTTTAACTTGGACTGTGTAATATAATTGCAACTTTATCTTTAACAGCAATCAAGATGTTTTTAACATTTTAGCACATTTTAGCAGACAGATTACACTTTCACATGTGACCAACAATTCCACAACAAATGTAAAATATCATAATGAAATATTATCAAAATATTCAACTGACGGAGGTGACAGAACTGACTGTCGCCACGAAAACCTGAATTTGTAATAATTTTAACTATCAAATACATTGAATCAGTCAATTACTGTATTAAAACAAACACAACAAACAGTGAGTATGTTATTGTTTATAAAGCTTTTATTCAAGAGTCACATATTTTGATGTAGGCCTATCATTGGAACACAACATCTTATGGTGGTGACATCTGACGGTGTTGACAAATTTGCCATTTCTTTCACAAAACCAATGGAGTTCATGTAGTAGCCTTTTTTCTGTTGATGCTAAATGCTAATCAACCTGCTTCAGGAGAATAAAATGATCGAAATATTTCAAATAATTTCCTCAGAAATTGGAAGATGGTGTTGACATATCATGGCTGTGACAAAGGAAATATTAACATCAGGATTTTAAATATTCTAAAACTATAAAACTTAGCAGAGCCTGTCTGACACTGATGTACTCTGCAGAGGTGAACTGTGGCAAGGGGGTCCTTTAGAGTGACAGCTGCCCCTGATATTCCCTGATTTTATTACATTTTATTGAATGTCTGACGGTGTTGACAAAAAGTGGGGACACAACTTTGAAACCTTATGAAACATGCATGTGTCATTAAAAAAACAACCTTGCTTTGATATGAGATATTAAGTGTAGTGATAAAACAAGGTCTTTTTCATCATTCATTTTTTTTTAAATCCATTTTATAGCATATGAATTATTGAACCCTTCTCTGTGGACACTGTTTTAGATGCAGTGAGAAGACAATAAGTGTCATAGATTTCATATAATAATGATACAATTAAATTGAAGGGGATAATTGTGTTAAATACATTCTATTATTAATCCCCCATAACTTTTACAATTGAAAATAGTTTTTATTTTTAAACCTAATAGCAGTTACAATTGCTGGGCATGTTTTGTCCCATGTCTCAAGAATCAGTGCAATTTAACTTAGCCTAAAGCTGACTTCAATCTCGACATCAGGAAGGCTTTTTGCCCTGATCATTTCGGTGACTAAGACCCCCAAATATAACGAGGCCCTTGCAAAATCAAATTTAATAGCTGTCGATCGGCAAAAAGCCTGCTGAATTTTTGTATTCATAGTCTTTTTGTTTTCATAGACTGTTGCCTGTTTTCAAAGTAAACTGTGCATCTTCATCATCGGTAGAATCCAGTTTGGTAAAAACGTCTGCTTGCCTAAATGTTTAATAGGCCTTTTCGCTTACATTCTTCTTATTCTTATGGCAAACAAGTGTAATCATGTATTCATCATGCTTCATACAGTTATCTTGTTTTGATACATAGCTTGCGTTGTTTTAATTTTCACATTTATGGTCTTAATTTTCAAAATTTTTCCCTTAACAGTCTAAAAAGTTGGCTAATCACATATTTGTCTTTTTTAGCAGCTCACTCAATTACAGTTGAATCTGTTTGCTGTAGTTAGTGCTGTATCATTAAAACCGTTTCTGTTTGTTTTCTAGGTGGAGAGACAAGTAAAACTGTGAACATGTCGGTGACAGAGGGGGATGCTGTCACTCTACAATCTGATCTTTCGGAAATATTGAATGATGATACAGTATTATGGATGTTTGGACCTAAAGACACTCTCATATCTCAAATCCGAAGAGAGGATGACCTGACCTCATTTTTCGTCACCGATGATGTGGGATTCAGAGGCAGATTGCAGGTGGATCAAAACACTGGCTCTCTCACCATCAGAAACACCAGAATCAGACACTCTGGACAATATAAACTATCCTTCTCTAGAGAAAAGACTACAATCAAGATATTTAATGTTACTGTCTTTGGTAAGTCTTCCATTGTAACAATGATCCAGTTTCTAAACTCTGAGTTGTTTTTCCTGTTTCAAACTGTTCATATTTAAACAGGGTTAATAATAATTTGGTTTGTTGGTCTGTATGATTTCAAACCATACACTTGAGTGAGAATTAAGTGATTAAGTGAGAATTTCCTGATTTTGCACAATACAAGCAGTGGCAGACTGGTCTTAAAAAGTTAGTCATCTCATTTTTTATATATTTTTTTCTTAAAGACTGGTCATAACCTTTTTAATTCAGTTATGAAATGGTAGATTGGTCATATACTGGAAAAGTAAGAATGACTACCTCTTGGCAACTGCTAGTTGGTCAAACTAGTTCTTGAGGCACAGTCTTAACATGGTGTTAAGACTGTGGGGGCCGGTTGCATAAACTGTTTAGACTAGTCTTAAAAAGTTAGTCATCTAATTTTTTTTCTTTAAGACTGGTCATAACATTTTTAATTCAGTTATGAAAAGGTAGATTGGTCTTATTTGTAGTGGAAATGTAAGACTGATTTCCCCTTGGCAACTGCTAGTTGGTCAAACTAGTTAAGACACTGTCTTAACATGGTGACTAAGCTTATGCAACTGGCCCATAATGGGACTAACGTTCTTTCAGAATTTCAAATCTGATACATTGTAAAACTCTACATTTTATTATTGTTCTGCTCATTTTTCCAGTTGTGGTTGGTAAGACGGACGGAGTTAAGTCATTGTCATTGTCAGTGCTGGAGGGAGATCCTGTCACTCTACATACTGATTCTGAAATACACCAAGATGCTCTGATGCTGTGGAGGTATGGTGATAAAGGCATGCTCCTGGCTAAAATTGACTTTGAGACAAATGAGACCTCACTAACCGATGCTGATGAGGGATTCAAAGATCGACTGCAGCTGGATCAGACCGGATCTCTGACCATCACAAACACCAGAACCACAGACTCTGGACTTTATGAACTACAGATCAGAGGCAGTGAGAGCTTGCAGAGATTCCTGGTTTCTGTAAGTGGTGAGTAACTCTTTCAGTTATGACGATATATGGTATTATTAGCATATATCTGAAACCATTTCAGATTATCATATTGACTGACACTTTCAGTGTCTCTCTTCATACCTGTCCCAGATGCAGGTCTTTCTTCGAGTGTTATAGCAGGAATAGTTGTTGGTGTTATTGTTCCTGTTCTGCTGATCCTGATTGCCTTTGTGATCTACTATCGCCGCAGGATTTATAAATTAAAAATGCAAATGGGTAAGTATAATGTACGTAAACATTTCCTCCAAACTTGCTAGGATTTTCTTTAAACTATGTACATTGTAGTATTTAATTTGAGTACTTTGTTTTTCCATTTCATTTAAAATCAAACCACTGACTAGGATGTTCATGCTCTGAAGTAAGTTTCGGATAAGTGAGATTTTTGATATTCAGTGAATTTCTAGAAATTCTTGTCAGCACAGAATAAGCTTAATCCATCATTCCTGGTCTAAGTGTCGTTCAAATATGGCAATCAATAAGTTTTACTTTATTAAATTTTTCACTAACATACATGCACGTATACGGTTATGTTTTATGTGTTTGTGATTTGTATTAAGATGAAAATTCATTTCCCCACATCATGTCATTTCAAACGTGTATGCTGTTGTTCACACTGCTCTTTTCCATACACTTCATACTGAACACAACATTCAATCTCTAAATTGGAAAAGTATCATAAATATACTGTAATGTTGTCCAAGCAATTCATGCCGTATATGTCAAGTGAAGTCTCCTGAAATCATATCATAATTACAACGGACTAAAATTGTTGATTCAATGCCAATGTTTTGCCAAAAGCGTTGACGTGCTGTGGCAGTTTTACATTTCTCACTTAAAAGACTTGAAATATAGCATGAGTCATATGGACTTTATAGTGTGATTGTATGAATGTACAGTAACTGAGATCTTCACCTGAACACTTATGTTTCTATGCATTTCTGTGACAGTCGAAGAGAAGAAAGAGACAGTGACAGAGGGAGAATCTATCACTCTACACGCTGGTCTTACTGGAACACAGGGAGATGTTACGATGAAGTGGTGCTATGAAACTGATGACAATCTCATTGCTGAAATTAAAAGAGGGACCAAAAGGACACAGGAGGGTGCTGATGGGAGATTCAGGAGCAAACTGAGGCTGGATGACAAGACTGGAGATCTCACTATCAGTAACGTCAGGACCATTCACTCTGGACTCTTTAAACTCAAGCTCAGCAGCAGAGCCAGAAAAACCATCAACAAGAGATTCATTGTTACCGTCAATGGTAAGTACTAAGTCCTTGTGTGTAAAAGATCATGCTGTGAGTTTAGACTATCTAAAAATTAACACTATCTCAAAGTGCTCAAATTTTAATTACTTTTAGATTTCAGTTACTTTTCATTGTAATTAGTACACGATTAGGAGATTAAAGTCATAATATTGCATGAATTAATTATAGGAACTTCAGTTTGAAAATAGTCTCAAAATATGATTTTAATTTGGTATAACACTTATTATTATTCTGATACATTTACTACAACATTCCTACAACAGCTATATTAGTCTGGTTTTATGTTGATTTAAGAATGAAATGGCTGGCAAAATTCATTCAGACACTAATACTGAATTTCTCTGTTTCTGTGTGCTGCTGTGACATGAAGTGAAGTCATTGTCAGCGACGGCAGGAGGTTCTGTCACTCTCCAGACTAATGCTAAAATACAGAGCGATGATCTGATACTGTGGACGCTTGGAGCTGAAAACGTTCTCGTTGTTAAAAAAGATTCAGGAACAACTACTGTTAATGAGAGATTCAGAGGCAGACTTAGGTTGGGCAAGACGACTGCATCTCTGACCATCACAAACCTCACAAATACAGACTCTGGACATTTTAAACTGCAGATCATCAACACTAAAAAGACCACATTCAGGAGAATCAACGTGACTGTCACCGGTGAGTAGAACATAATTTATTATAATGACTATCTATATATACAACAGTTCTGTGTTTTGGAACTCTTGTGTCGTCCTTAAGATTGTGTAGCTGCAACATCATCTATAAGTAGATGTGTATTCTTTCTCTCTTTTTACTTTCCATGATTATCTCTGTATTTTCTTTCAGGTTCCACAGGAAACCAAGTGAGTGAATTAGAGACTGCAGTAATGCTGCTGTCGGACGATGTGGATGGAGTGAATGAGCAGGAAGAGACATGGTCACTTCAATGAAATAAGACATGCCCACCAGTGCGCCAACACTGACATCAACATTTGACCTCAACAAATTTCTGCTTTTATGAAAGTGAGAAACTTTTACTCTTAACACTCAGGATGCGTGACACTTTCCCATGATCTGTAGCGCTGCAATTACCAACCACTGGTATTGGGAAAGTTTTTGATTCTCCAAAAACGGTGCACAGTTCTTAAAATAACCTGTTTTTATTAATGTGAAGAATACTTTAAAGGGGTCGTATGATGCGATTTCAAGTTTTCCTTTCTCTTTGGAGTGTTACAAGCTGATTGTCGATAGATAAGATCCCTGAAGTTGCAAAGACTAAAGTCTCAAGACCAAAGAGATATTCTTTATCAAAGTTAAGACTCTGTCACGCCCCCCTAAAATGGCTCGTTCTAACACGCCCCCACATATCTTCCTCACTATGTGGAAATATTAGCATAACGCCGCCAAAATGTGCATGCAAAGAAAGGCGGCGTGGTTTCAGTAACCGCAGTTGGGACTTTGTAGAAAACGAAGCGTTTGAGAGAGGCGGGGCATAGAGGACCTACAATAATGTACAGTATTTGAAAAATAATGTGTTTTTTGAACATTAAAGCATGTCAACATATTCTGTTACACCAAATACACAAAATAATGATCTTTAAAAAAGCATCATATGACCCCTTTAAAGCTTTTTTTTCCCACTATAAAGAACTTTCTGTGGAACAGAACGGTTCCATGGATGTTAAAGGTTCATCATGGAACCATTGATGCCAGTAAAGAGCCTTTATTTTGTGAACGAAACATTGTTTACCATTTTGGAAATAATTCCTTACAGTCAAGATGGTGCAAAAATAGTCTGAACACTGAAACATTAACAACGAACAAATAATTGATTGTGTTTCAGGAGTGTTGTACATTACAATGAGAGTGTTAATTTTCATATTGGTACTTATTACTTTATTATTATTTACTTATCAATATTTATTTACTTATTCTGTTACTGTTAATCAGTGTTGGGGACAGTTACTTTTAAAAGCAATGTATTACAATAATGTGTTATTCCCTAAAACACTAAATAAATTATGTTACCTTTAGTTACATACCATAGACCCTGCCCTATCTCGCTCATATGGTATTCATTTTATTTGTGCAGGTCCTAAAAAGGGATATTTAAAGCCTTAATTTGATTTAAAAAATAATAATAATTAAAATACCCTGTAAACGGTGTAATAAAATGCCGTCCTTGATATGTGTATTTGATTGATGTTTTGACTTCTATCTAATTTTCTTATCACATGGTTTGCAGGGGAACACTGGGGAGAACTTTATAGCCCAGACGTGCTTTTGGCTAAATGAATCAAGCTCTGAGTTAATATAGGAGTGTATTTTCCTAGATTTAAGACACAAATAAGTTTAAGAATAGATTAAGTGATACATTGTCTGTAGGCTATATTCCACAGAATGAATTGCTGTTATAGTACAATGGGTTGAACAGATTAAGCCAAATAGGACTGGAATTTGCTTAGATTCTTCATCAGCTCTTAAAAGTGTAATATCTACAAGAAGTGATAGAAAAGACCTGCTAGTGGAAATCTATACATTATTCTACAGATTGATCACACAGGGTATAATAGTATACTGTTGTTGGCACACATTGGGATAAATAGGGAATGAAACAGCTGATGAATTAGCAAAAGCAGCATTAAAGAAAACTTTGTGGATATTAAAGCAGAAGTGAGGTAAATCAGTGATTAACAGGTAAGAAGTAGAACTTTGGCAACAAAGGTGGTAAAATAGCAGCACAGGAAGACGGTATTGTTGCAAAGTCAGTTGGGAAAAATGAACAGTTTATGGAAGGCATAGAAAGGAAGAAGTAATGATTTCTTGATTAAGATTTTGATACAGGACTAAATTCAACACTTGCAATAATAAGAAAGCATGAAAATGACGTGTGATGCATGTAAAGTTTTAGAAAAAGTGCATGCATGTTTTTTTTTTTTACTTTAGTTTGACTTTAGTCTCACAGCCTCATGTAATTACTGCATCAACATTCCTACAACAGATATATTAATCTGGTTTGATGTTACATTTCTCTACATTAACTCGTTTTAACTTTTTTTGGAAAAGGTTAGGCCTAAAAAACAAATGATAACCATAATGAAAACGTAAAAAATACAGACAATTTTGCATACCTCAGATGAAAAAAAAAAATTGGAAATACAATGCAAAATATACGGTTCTGCTCATGAATGTTCAGTTTAATTGCACCCAAAACTGATTAAAAAAAAAGAAAAAGAAAATGAAGTTCCTGGTTATAAACAAGTGACTGCTGTGACACTGCCATTGCAGGAACATGTTCCTAATGGAGTGAATCAGCAGGAAGAAACCATGCCACTTTAATGAGATAATACACGCCCACCAGCGCCAGTCACTGTAACATCACCAACATCAGACTTCAACAACATATTTCTGCTTTTATGAAACTGAGAAACGAACCTGTTTGCTGGAATGAAGCCTTGTGTGATTAAGCACCTGACTAACAGCAGCTTACAAAAGTAAAGACAGAAGTGTGTGGACACCAACAGCACTGCAGAAGACCTGCAGCTAACTGATGAATTACTTATTATTTTTCTGTTATTGTTAATGTTGTCTTAAGTCAAACAGAGATGCAATGTCTCCTTCTCACTGTTGTTATCGTCATAGGACAATGCTGTTAAGCAGTAATTTTCTATTTGCTTTGGTACAATAACACTTATGAAATTTGCAGTGGTGGACGAAGTACACAAATCAAGTACTTGAGTAAAAGTACAGATATGTGTAATAAAATATTACTCCAGTAAAAGTACTTTTCAATTTTACTCGAGTGAAAGTACAAAAGTACTTGATTTTTTATGTACTTAAGTAAAGTACTGATAGATTTATTTTGCAATTTTATATAGGCTACTTAATTAAATTTTATATTAGCACATACATTTTATAATCCTACTGCTCAAAATACCTGGGATTTTCCCAAAACAACCACTATATGGAGTCAAGATATATTGTTGATATGGACTACACTGACGAGAGTGATGTAGTAATGTTCACTGTGAAGCTTACACTGAGATCTACCTGAGAGAAAACAGATCTGACCATCTGATTTTCACCAGTAAGAAAAAAAGTGTTTTAAAGCTTGTTGTTTTGCAGAACATCACAGTTATATACTAACGTTACAGCAGAGGGGAATATGAACGTGTAGCGTCTCGACCAATCTGACACACTAATTTTAATTTGATTTAACAAATCAATTATTCATTAGGTTAACAAATCGTCACAAGTTAATTATAACTAGTTATGGTTAATTATTCATATTTCCCATGAGCTGATTCGCTACAAACGTGCATGAGTTATTTTATTTAATGTGTTATTTTAATGTTTCATTTTTTTTACCTAAAACATAGAGACTCTGATGTTAATGTGTCTGCTTTCAAGCATTTCAGTGGGCTTAAATAGATCACCCTTTACAGCAGATTTAGTTCACAAACAACTGACAGTGTTGACCTAAATATGATTTTCAGTTACAATAATGAATCCTAAAATTCAACATTAGTAACTTACTTTTAGCAGCATCAGTCACGCGCAAGGTTCTTACTTGTGAATTTATTTCACTGGAGACTCGCACTAAACGGTTCATTTGAATCAGTGAGTTGTCGACTCGAGAACAGCTGCAATCGGTTCATTCTAATTCGTCAATGAATCGTTTGGTGCAATTTGCGAACCGATTTAAAAGGTTAATTGAAAAGAATCAGTTCGTTCATGAATCAGACACCGCTTTTGCGTCTCGGAGCACGTGATATATTATAAGTATTAACGATATGTTTTATGAAATGTAATGAAGTAAAAAGTACAATCGTATGCTTTGGAATGTAGAAGTAAAAGTAAAAGTCACTCTAAATAAAACTACTCCAGTAAAGTACAGATACTTGAAAAATGTACTTAAGTACAGTAACGAAGTAAAGCTACTCCGTTACTGTCCACCACTGGAAATTTGTGATGGTCAGATGAAGTCTGACTGAAGATTGAAAAGATAAAATAAACATCTCCTGCATCCTGCTTTTCGCTGCTTATATCTGCACCTTTTGAAAGGCAGAAGAATTTAACATGGTGTTGACTGTTTTGGAAAGGATGGCTAGAGTTCCCGAAAAGCTAGATTTGGGTAATAGCTGCTTGATAAAGTTATTCATAAACATCAAATCATCTTTATAAAGACAAACAGTGTTTTATATTTATTAGTAGTTTAAATCTTTTATGTAAAAATCAATTGAACCCCACCACATCTTCAAATAAGAATGCTTTTGAGATCATACTATGCCATCAATTGTGTTGCTCAATTATTTTGTTACAGTAATTATGTTTACAGCCATGCATTTAATAGATTGATCAAAGTCATATTCTGTGCAGATACAATCAATAAACGGCCAATGAGTGCAAAAATATTATGTTATTAAACAGCTGTGTAAGGAACAGTAAAAGTGCAGAGCATTAATGTGTGTTTTGCTTTATATTTGGACATATCTGCAGCTTAACCTTCTGCTCAGTTCATACTGTTGGTCTGATTTTGCTCCATGGGTCTGAGAAAGATATTGAGTCTCTTCTGTCCTGTTCAGCTCACTTCTTGTAGATCTGATGTCATAAACCAGCACTGCAACAGCAGCCACGCCCACCAGAGCAGAGAGAGCCAATCGGATCACAGCTTCAGTAAAACCACAACAGTGAATGTGGGCTGAAAAGAAAAAAAAGGGACACTGAATCACAACTGTGCATTTATTTATAATTAAAACAGACGAGGCATGGATTTTGTGGGTTATTGGGAAGGCAATGAATCCACAAGCTTCAATCTGTGAATGTTTGTCTTTCCTTGCTTAGCCAAATAACATTAGTAGGATTGCATGGCTGACATAAGCGGTTCTAGATCATTTCTACGGCTCCCTAAAGAATGTGATTCTTTCCCAATGATGTTTTGTTGCCTCGAAAGCTAATGTTCTCTAGAGCAGCATGAGACGAGTGATTCATTTCTGTCGCTTGTCTGCCATATGTTTTCTATTCCTGCAAAATCCCGGAAGAAGACTTAAGTAAATGTTCCCCATAGAAACCCAGTGACTTACCTGAACTCGGCTGATAGAGTTCAGTAACGCTGGCATCCTCAGTCTGGTTTGCGGATGAATTGTTCATCGCACAGCTGGACGCCACACAATTTGTGCTCGATGATCTTTCTGGCAATGAAGAATTTTGGCATTAAAGCAGCCAATATTATAAAATGTGTATTTAAGAAATTTTGAAAATAGAAAAGCACCATTTTAAAATGTGATGTCAAATTTATAATTCAAATGAAGGGCTAATTATGCTGTAATTCTCACCATAGACAGTAACATCATAATCCACGTAGCTGGTCTCTCTGTTGACTGTTGCTAGCTGATAAAGTCCAGAGTCTGTGGTTCTGGTGTTCGTGATGGTCAGAGATCCGGTCGGATCCAGCTTTAATCGGTCTCTGAATCTCCCATCAGCATCGTACGTATAGCTGGTTTGCGTGAGTCTGTTGACTTCAGCTATTCGAGTGCTTCCGAACATCCACTGTATTAACAAATATTTCTGTTTTTCAGTAACATCAGGGTTCAGAGTGACAGAATCTCCCTCCTGTACTGATATTGACTTCACTTCTTCGGTCACGCCTAAAGAGAACACAGAAACATGTTACAAACTGTGATCATTATGTTGGTTATTAATGACCAAATTACTATTTAAATCTGTATTTTGCATATATTTTCCTAATACCAATGTTGAATGATAAATAAAACAAGACTTTAAAATGAGACCTAAGATTAATAAGAGACATAACAGGAGTTCAATATGAGTTGGTGTTACTTAAGCACTTTCATATGCAAACAGAAGTGAAACAAAACACAAACAAAACACTCATCTGTGGATCTGACTGCTTTAAAGGAACAGTTCACCCCAAAAATGAAAAGTTACTCTTCAAAATTAAATAAGTAGAGTAAGCATTTCAATTACTTAATGTAACTGATTACATTTTCATTACTTTTCTACATTTCTAATGTAAATCATTTTCAATCATTTAAACCAGGCAGATTGTAGCCTAAAGCTTTCAGCAGCAATGTGACGTGGTGTCTGCCAATTCAAACAAGAGAAACAAGCAAAAGCATCAGAATAGCATTGCTTTACCAAAAGGGCCTTTAAAAGGCAAGAGGCATTGTGCACATCAATAACAGGCAAAGCAACAAATTAATATTATTAAACATATCCTATTTGTATTTTTAAGTATTTGTATTTTGTATTTATAAGTTACATGTAACAACACTGCACACAAGAAAAAAACTACTACATATTTAGAAGAACTTGTTAAATCATGACAGAACTTTCATTATTGGGTGAACTATTCCTTTAACTTCCACATTCTTAACTGTGGCCATCTGTTTAAAGGGAATAAAAGCCATCAGTATCATAAGGAATACTGAAATAAATAGAAAAGAACCATTTTAAAATATTACAATGACAAAGACATCATTTAAATGAGGAGCAAACTATGCTGTAATTGTCTTACCATAGACTGTAACATTGAAACTCATGTAAATGGTCTCTTTTTTGACAACCGTTAGTTGATAAAGTCCAGAGTCTGTGGTGCTGGTGTTTGTGATGGTCAGAGATCCAGTCTGATCCAGCTTCAGTCTGTCTCTAAATCTCCCATCAGGACCATCATACGTCGAGTTTGTTTGTGTGAGTCTGTTGACTTCAGCTATTCGAGTGCTTCTAAACTTCCACTGTATTAACAAATATTTCTGTGCTTCAGTAACATCAGGGTTTAGAGTGATAGACTCTCCCTCCATCACTGATACTGACTTCATTTCTTCTGTATCAACACCAAACACACCTGGAGAACAAACAGGAACATGTTTTGTCACAGACATTTTGTCACAGGCCCCTGAACTTTGGCCCCAATCCATAATACATCTCTGTGTACAAGAAATATCTTATTTAAACCAGGTCTATGCCACTGTTGATTATACTAGAATATAAATTCTGCACGTTCAGTCAGCTTGCTGAACAAAATGGAAAAACGCTGATGAGCATTACTGAACTGATTTGTTCCTCCTTAGTGTTGTCACTTCTGCACTCATTTTGGTGTGTAAACAGAAGTGAAACATAAAGCATGATCTGTGGATCAGAAGGCTTTACGCTTATTCATCTAACTAGTCACATTTACTGATTGGCTCGTGGACTAATTTAATTCTATACTGAGAAATTGAATTGCTATAGGCCTAAATTAACTAAATGCATTACTGAAACATGTTGAATATTAGAACACTGATGTCCATTTGTGTTAATGATCAAAACGTTTAAAAGACAAAAAAACAATAATTTTGGTACATCTTGTAGAACTCCTTCAAGATGTCTGCAAAAGTTTACTTTTGTAAAAACAAACAAAAAAAGTTAAAGTGATCGCCTGATAAACTTTTTTTGTAGGAATAACATTGCGACGATAAGGTTGTAAATCCTGTTTGATTTCAACCTGAAGCTTATTACTCTTAACTTAAACTGCAGGACGTGAAGCAATGAAAACACATTTATAACTTACCAATCAGACTCCACAAGCACAACGAGAACAAAACTAATGGATGAACCATATTCTCTGGCCGTTTGCCCACCTATCTAATGACTAAACACCGTCCCGTTTACACCTCGAGCAACTTGTGGCTGCATGTCGCCAATTCCCAGAAGTGTGTCGCTAGAAGGCGTTCCCACTGCTGGTTGACTGGTGATGGTTAAGAGTGACAGTAGCGTTACAGTGCTTTCGTGTTCTTACCACTTAAAATAAATATTTAATGGAATAAGCCCTTGGAATGGAGTAAAATGCGTAATACTCCCTATACATTTTTTTTTAAGTATTATATATTAATCAGTCCAATTGAAACGATTTGAAAATATCAAAGAGTGGCGAAAAGCGTGTGAATTAGAATAAAAAAATAAACCGTGGCCTTCTGGAGAGAAAAAAATAGAGACATCACAAAATTTGTAATGGTTTTATTTGTTATGAATTGTATCGGTTTTAATGGAAACTGTAACGGTCCCTTGTTGGTAGCTTATAAAGCCAAATTAAAATGGAATTATTATTGTTTTGACAACGTCACCTCATTCATTGTAATCAGTATTTGAAAATGCTTATGCATTCATAAACCAAACCTTTCGCTGATTGTTTACAGTGTGGTGGAAGTTACTCCCATCAAAGCATCAAAAGCTGGATAGGTGTGTTCGACCTGATGCGGCGCTGAGCAGACCGATCGGTGTTTGACTGGACGCGGTGCATACCGCTGTTCAGAAACACAACAGAAAGGATTCAGCGGACCAGAATAATCTAAATCTCCAGAGATCATCTTCATTCATTCAGATTTTTCACACCTCCACAACAACGTGCAGAACATGTCATTGTTCTTTCTACTATTATTCATGGACGGTACAAAAATGTACCCATTAAGCACAGCCAGACTTTTTGCATTTAATGATGTATATCTTAATTGAAATGCTTTTGTCATTTAAATAAATTAAATATTATTGTGTGAGAGATTAAGATTTTATTTGAACATAACTTCTTGAACTAAAAATGTCTCAATGTAGATTTTGGTGAGCTTAATAGGTAGGTTTACCCTATACAATCTGCATACATACAACTTTTTTGGAAAAATAAATTTTCTTCAAGACGTTTCCAACTATGACTTTGAAATATATATATATATATAAAGTCATAACATTAGATAGTCAGGTAATATCCTCCGCTTTACTTAACTCATAAAAGGCCTATAGTACAAAAACATTCCTACAGCTGCTTTATTGAGCCAGTTTGACATGATAGTTTACACATTCATTGGGTTTGGTTTGAGCAGTTCACATCTTTTTAATCTAAAAAACTATCCAAGTGATCTGTGTGCAATATAAATGAGCTGAAATTAGCAAGTTTTTTTTTTAATTGCTCTGTTTTTATGTGCCGTTGTAACAAAGTGAAGACAGAGAAAGTGATGCTGGGAGATTGTCACTCTCCAGCCTGAGAGATGATCTGATGCTGTGGACGTTTGGAGCTGAAAAGCATCTCGTTGTTAAAGCTGATTCAGGAACAACTAGTATTAGGGAGAGATTCAGAGACAGACTGGAGCTGGACAACACGACTGGAACTGACCATTAGAAACATGGAAACCACAGACTCTGGACAGTATTAACTACAAATCATTAACAGCGAACAGACCACAATCAAGAGATTTAATGTGTCTGTCACCAGTGAGTAGAACAACATTTATTATAGTAATGGTATATTTATTTCTGTAACATTTCCTTTGGAAAATGTTGAACAAAAGATGTAATTTCAGATATTCCGTTTGTGGCAGTGTTAATTTCTATCATTTCTAGTGTTCTTTCTATCATAGCTGATTTTGTTTAGTTAAAAACACATTTTTACAGTTCAGTAATCTTCAGTGCTGCTGTAATTGCTTTGAGACATGATTTAAACTAAGTTAAACCAGTATGCAACAAGAACTTGAATGCCATAATCGCAGACAATTTCAGCTGTTCGGTTTTGTCAATGCAAAAGTGGTTTTAAAAGTACTAAAACTAAAGCAAATACTATTCACCATAATGGTGACTTAAAACTAAATGTTTTCAATAAAAACACTATTTCCATAAAGTTAAGTTTTCAATAGAAAAGTTAATGTTCATTTAACTGAATTTTTGCATTATTGTTTTACATTGACTCAGCTCAGCTGTATTTACTTAGAATATGATGTTTTTCAAACTTTAGAAATTGTTAACAAAGTTGGAATATCTTTATAAATTACAATAAACCAAGTTTTCAATACCAAAGTTCATGCTCACTTTACCTAATTTGGCTTATTTTTTTTTAGTTCAACAACCAAATAAATAATTGTTTTATTTCAATTGTAAATGATTAATTTCAAATGTTTCAGTCATGTTTCGGTTCACAACTTCTGTTTGCACAGCAAATTCATTGCCCGATTCCTCTAACACAGCATCTATTCTACAAGCAAAGAAAGACGAGAACATCTTCAAAAAGTCATAGATTTCACAGTTCAAGTTCTGAGAGTCTGTCGTGTATTTTACATTAAAGGAATAGATCTTTCAAGCTTAAAATTATATCATCATTTATTCACCCTTATGTCATTCCAAACCTGTTTAACTTTATTCTTCCACAAAAGGAGATGTTCATGCAGAATGTTCATGCTGCTCTTTTTTTGCATATATGGAAGTGAATGGTGACCAGGGACTGTCAAGCTTCAAAATGACAACAAACTCCATAAAAGTTATAAAAATGTGTCAATCAACCTTTTTTTTTTAGTTCAACAACCAAATAATTAATTGTTTTATTTCAATTGTAAATGATTAATTTCAAATGTTTCAGTCATGTTTCGGTTCACAACTTTTGTTTGCACAGCAAATTCATTGCCCGATTCCTCTAACACAGCATCTATTCTACAAGCAAAGAAAGACGAGAACATCTTCAAAAAGTCATAGATTTCACAGTTCAAGTTCTGAGAGTCTGTCGTGTATTTTACATTAAAGGAATAGATCTTTCAAGCTTAAAATTATATCATCATTTATTCACCCTTATGTCATTCCAAACCTGTTTAACTTTATTCTTCCACAAAAGGAGATGTTCATGCAGAATGTTCATGCTGCTCTTTTTTTGCATATATGGAAGTGAATGGTGACCAGGGACTGTCAAGCTTCAAAATGACAACAAACTCCATAAAAGTTATAAAAATGTGTCAATCTGCAATCAGGCAGATTGCTGAATCTGAAAACAGGAGGACGTTATTCTCTCTACAACAGAACAGGTCAGCCATTAAGCAAAATGCAACCAGTGTTCCTGTTTTACATGTGCAGTACAGCGCAGTGATCAGAGGACAAACGTCACCAACCTGTCATCCACAAAACATATTAATGACAGTATTTTTTTTTAAAACAGATGAAGAAGGAGTTGTAGTGTGTAGGCAGAAACAGGTACCCACAGTTTCATAACATCAGATTGTAAGTGCTTTATGGGTTTGCATCAGAGTTGTGGTATCTGCCAAAGCTCCACGATACTGGACTGGTAAGTCACTGAGAAAGGGCTGTGCTAAAAAATTTTTTAAAAAAGGGTAGGCTATGGGTACCAATCAAATACTTCTCCATTTGCCATTGATCCAACAAACAGATACTGCCCCAAACTCATGCTTTGGATGAGTCAGTGTTTTTATGTTGTCCATGCATGTAAGCTTGGTAGACCTTATTTTAACACTGAATAAAGCTTCAGATTACATTTTTTTGAAAAGCCAACAGGATCAGAGGTTTATTTATGTGCACATAGTGCTGCATGAAGTTATGAGTCATCCTTTTGGACAATGCATTAAAGTGCACCTACCTTTTTCACCAAAGGAAGGCCAATGTTCTTCTCCTTCATGAGTGTCTCTAGCTTCTTCCTCACAGCTTTTCTGTTCGAAGCAAAAAATATCTATGCTTTAGGAAATGCTGTAAGTAAAAAAAACATATATTTAAAAAAAACGGTGTAGGATTTACTCAGAAAACAATTTTCACACAGAAATTGCTGTACATTTCACAAAGAAACAGCAATAACACATTGAATGAAATGTTGAGATTTGAAAATTCACAATATTTATCTTGTATAGGTTCTATAAATTGTATATATATATTTTTTAATTGCATACATGAATATGTATATAAATTGTTAAACTAAATATATACACTGGCAGTTATTAGTGCTGGAGGCTTTACTGCAAGCCTCTAGTGACCCCAGCTGGTTAAAAGCATATTTATTCGTATAGCCTGTACATTATTTTTCTACAGATTTGTTTTCAACACACTCTTTATATAGCAACATATCATAAGCCTTTTCAGATTGTATAACTTTCACAACTTTATGCAAATACCAAAAAAAAAAGGTAAACGAAAGATGGAAGAATGCTGTATAATAAACTACACAACAAACTCAATTACAAACACAATTAGCTGTTTCTACTTACTTTTTGTCCATAGTCAGTTCACTAGCTCTCATTTAACAAGGTGTACGAAAATCCATCCACTTTTTCATTCCCATTTAAATTTATTTCTACTGCAAATAATAAGCAATCTGAGATTAGCCATTGTACATATCAACTAAAAAAATGTTAATCAACTAAATCTCAATCTCAGCAGAGGATGATTAAACACCAAAAAACAGCATTAACACCTTCACTCATTACAAACCAGTTTGCCTTTATTACTTTCATAAATTGTTTCTGAGAATTAACAGAGGTTTAGCTCTTGTTAAAGGGGTCATATGATGCGATTTAAATTTTTCCTTTCTCTTTGGAGTGTTACAAGCTCTTGGTGCATAAAGAAGATCTGTAAAGTTGCAAAGACTAAAGTCTCAAAACCAAAGAGATATTCTTTATAAAAGGTAAGAGTCAGCCACGCCTACCTAAAACGGTTCGTTCTAACACGCCCCCACATATCTATGTCGCTATGTGGGAAGATTTGCATAACGCCGCCCAAATGTTCACGCAAAGAAAGAAGGCGTAACTTTTATTCTCACCGTAGTATTGTTGCCGCCGCCATGTCATGAAGGCGCTGTGTGCTTCGTTGTGAAAGCTAAACTACTTCGTTTGGCCTTTCAAAAGAGGACGATATCCGCTTCGTCATGCCTGGAGCTGATCCGTGCTGGTCGCGGAGGAAATACAT